GACATGAGGAACCATTATATAATTTCACTTGGCAAAACTCTGATTAAAATAACAGCCCGCCAAGCTCTCCGCGGAGACTCACTCAGAGTTTTCACCACGATTTGCCTGGTGATGGGAAGTGGCAGGTTGATGCAGACCAAATCCACAGTATAATAAATACAAGTATAATAAATACCTTCCTCCTCCTTCTCCTCGCTGCGATCTGGATGCCCGACGTGCCTTCCTTTCCTCCGCCCTTTCGCGTGGAGCCTCAAGTTTACGAGCAATGCAGGGTTGCTACGTTAAGCGCGCCCGGTCCCAACAGGGAACTGTTGCTGCTGCGGCACCCAATCCCTGCAGCAGTGACTGGCTCTGCTCCCGGCTGCAGGCCACTGCCCTTCCACATCCAGCGCATCTTCAAGAACATGACCCGGCATCCCAAGCGGAGCTCCCGCCACCTAGCTGCGTTGCGCACACGCGTGGGGATTCAAGGAATCCAGCCGGAGGGCATAGCCGGGCCATCCCAAGCAGAGCTCCCCCCGCCTAGCTGCACTGCACACACGCACGGGGATTCAAGGAATCCGGCCGGATTCCTTGAATCCCCGCATGTGTGCACAACGCAGCTAGGCGGGATCCGCTTGGGATGATCCGGCTATGGAGGGCATAGCCAGGTCATCCCAAGCAGAGCTCCCCGCACCTAGCTGCCTTGCACACACGCACGGGGATTCAAGGAATCCGGCCGGATTCCTTGAATCCCCGCGTGTGTGTGCCACACAGCTAGGCGCGGGGAGCTCCGGGTCTTGCATGTTTGGGATCACCCTGCCAGGGAGGAGGAGCAGCAGCGAGCCGGGTGGGCAACCCGCTTGCTGTTAAAGACGCACTGGACCCAGCACGGCAGGGCTCCCAGGCAGCGATACCACCACCATCCGCTCGCGGCTCTTCCTGCCCAGACGCCCAAAGCCTCCCAGCCCGCCTGGGACAAGTCAGCTGCAGTGCAGCCGGTGGTGGGCAGGAAGGCTTCTGGCGGCTCCCGGGCGGCGATCCCACCGCCATCCGCCTGCTCACTCGCTATGGGGAATGGCCCGAGACGCAGGAAAAGTTATGAGAAAGCGTGCCTGTCCCGCCAAATGCGAGACGTCTGGTCACCTTACATAACATGCCACTCTTAATAAAAGCGAAGGGCTACTCCTTTTCTTTAAACTATAATATCATAGGAAAAACAGCAGGTTTATATTAGAGAAATTAATAGAAAGACTTGCAAAATAGCAGAAATTCTCAAAAGTGATTCAAAAGGACAGCTTGGAACATTTTTGCAATTAGATATTTTGAAATAGAACATGAAAAGAAGATCAGTCAAAAATCGAAT